GCAACATCCATCTTGGTTGTGAGGCTTACATAATATACAACAATCACAGGTGATGCGTTAAAACGCAAATACATATAGGTACCTGTGAGCACATGATTTGGCTAAGCTGAGAATGACCCCTTTTCCCATCTTAAAGTCTCTGATATCGTCACTTTAAGTCTGGTTGTCCTAAACACCACAAGATCTGTCACATCAAGATTGTCCAATCCCATATAAGAATAAGCCCAGCCTACAACCTACAGCCCACCACCCACGTTCGCCTGTCCGCCGCAGTCCAGGGGTCGTCGAGTGGGTGGACCCAGCCCCAGTCGGGTCCCCCCTCCTCTGTCTAGGGGCTCCAAAATAATTTTAGCCCCGCCATCCGTTTAGTTACCTTACCGTCTCTCCTTTTCTGCCACCCGTTCTCCTGAAGCCACCTCACTTCTGCAATCCATCGCAGTCAATATCTACAGCTACCACGGGGCTTTGATCTTCTCGCTGTCTTCTCGTTGTTCTGTACAGCTTCTTCTCTTTCCAGTCGCTCCATTGTTGTCAGCGTCTGCGCATTTCTCTTCCTCTTGTTCTCTTCCCAATACCCACTACAGCTTCATCTAATACCCCCACCATGGCCAATACGTGAGTTACTCCTCCGCCTGTCGTTACGATTGATTGATAGCAACGCTCGCCACGATTTGCTTTCTGTTGTTAAAACAAAGTTTACTGACTTTTATGCTTTCTCAGTAACGTCGATGTCCTCGTTATTGGTATGGGACCTACTGGTCTCGGTGCTGCCAAGCGTCTTAACCACATTGTATGCCGCCCTCACCGCCACCTCTCGCAAGAGTCAAGAATCTCGACTGACGATGTATACAGAACGGCCCTTCATGGCTGATTGTCGACTCTTCTGACAAGGCTGGTGGTCTTGCCAGTACTGATACCACTCCCGAGGGTTTCGTAAGTTGTTGCCGTTAAATCTTAATCGAAAACCTTGTTGTTAACCTGCAATTTTCTAGCTCTACGACGTCGGTGGCCACGTTATCTTCTCCCACTACAAGTACTTCGACGACTGTATCGACGAGGCTCTCCCCAAGGATGATGACTGGTACACCCACCAGCGAATCTCCTACGTGCGCTACAAGGGCCTTTGGGTTCCTTACCCCTTCCAGAACAACATCTCCATGCTCCCCAAGGAGGACCAGGTCGACTGTATTGAGGGTATTATCGACTCTGCTCTCGAATGCCGTGTCGCCAACACCAAACCCAAGGACTTCGACGAGTGGATCGTGCGTATGATGGGTGAGGGCATTGCCAACATCTTCATGCGACCTTACAACTACAAGGTCTGGGCTGTTCCCACCAAGAAGGTACGCTATCATGCCCCATACAGAAGACGGTGAAGGCGGTGTACTAACAAGCTGCAGATGCAATGCCAGTGGCTCGGTGAGCGTGTCGCCGCTCCTGACGCTAAGCTTGTCACCAAGAACGTTATCCTCAACAAGGTTGCCGGTAACTGGGGCCCCAACGCTACCTTCCGATTCCCCGCCCGCGATGGTACCGGTGGTATCTGGATCGCTGTCGCTGAGACCATCCCCAAGGAGAAGAAGCGATTCGGCAAGCAGGGTGAGGTCACCAAGATCGATGGCGAGAAGAAGATTGCCTACTTCGCCGACGGCAGCACCATTAGCTACAACAAGCTCGTCAACACCATGGCTGTTGACCACCTCGCCGAGAAGCTCGGCAACCAGGAGCTCATGACCCTCACCAAGCAGCTCTACTACTCTACCACTCACGTCATTGGTGTCGGTATCCGAGGTGAGCGCCCTGAGCGCATTGGTGACAAGTGCTGGTTGTACTTCCCCGAGGACAACTGCCCCTTCTACCGTGCCACCATCTTCTCCAACTACTCTCCCTACAACCAGCCTCAGAAGGATGCCAAGCTCCCTACTCTCTACCTTGCCAACGGTGAGAAGGCTGCTTCTTCCGAGGCCAAGGAGGGTCCTTACTGGTCCATCATGCTTGAGGTTTCTCAGTCCACCATGAAGCCTGTCGATGTTGAGAACCTCCTCAAGGACAGCATCCAGGGTCTTATTAACACTGAGATGATCAAGCCTGAGGACGAGATCGTCTCCACCTACCACCGTGCTTTCGACCACGGTTACCCCACCCCCACTCTCGAGCGTGAGGGTGTCCTCAAGCAGGTCCTCCCCAAGCTCGAGTCCATGGACATCCTCTCCCGTGGCCGCTTCGGCAGCTGGCGATACGAGGTCGGTAACCAGGACCACTCCTTCATGCTCGGTGTTGAGGCTGTCGATGCCATCCACAGCGGTGCTGTCGAGCTGACCCTCAACTACCCCGACTTTGTCAACTCCCGCCAGAACACTGAGCGTCGTCTCACCCAGAACTTCGTTTTCAGCACTCCCCAGACCAACGGAATCCCCAGCCACTCCAAGGCTCAGTAAGCAACCACTGCATTGGAGTCGGAGTTGAAGGTATGGCGTGAGCAATCTAACATTGGGTTGGGCACGTTGTTTGATATTTCAAGAGATATGTGTACAAGAAAACATTGTGGGAAGCGAGTTAGCGCCTCGAGGAATGACGAGTCCAGAATTTTAGGATTGATGATGGGAAATAAGACAAGATGCTGCTGGTGAATGTTCCCAGTTAGCTGGACGGCCGGATGGATATAGGTTCCCGCTGGAGAAGCGGGGCATGATAAAGGATATAGATCTGGAATTTTTGCTCTAGGGCTAGACAAATGAACGGATTGTCCTATACAGATACATAATAGTATACAACATACAATAGAATATACAATCTGTTTGTGTTTTAATTTTTCTCTTTGTGTATTTTGCTTTATTTTATTATTATTTTTGGTGCCTTTTCTCATCATTAGTGATACATGGTGTTTAGGTGTGATGTTGTTTCACAATGGACTGATAGCCACGAGCTGAACATCGCAATGACATCTCATCAACTCCCAGCCACTTACATCATCGCTACGTAGGTAATGTAATCAGGGGTTAAAGTGTAAGACTCAGTATAAATGGAATCGAAATTATTTTCTCAGTCACCACGTAATGCTCGACAATGAGTACAGGGAAAAGTGTAGATTACAATAATTTCAGACTCTCATTACAGGAATGGATGCCAGGAGAATGCGCTACTGCAAGAGATCATCAAAACAGCAACGCCAAACAACCTAAGAGAAAAGTCAATAAAGCAAGCGCTTGGTAGTGCAGCGACCCATAAACGACGCCACAAGGGTCCATCTCGCAGCATGAGCCGAAATTTGTCAATCCCACCTTTTTCTCTCTTGCTAAAATAGGCCACAGTCGCTGCACGGATACTATGTACAGCAAGTACAGCACATTGATGGATGCGCTATAAAAAGTGACTGCCGGAGTCTACTCTTGGCAGCACGTAACCTGCAAAGCTAAAGAAAATTTCTTCTTCTTCTAGCTCTACGCTCTGGCCAGAAGGAAAAGGGATGGGCAGGAAAGAGAGTTATTAGTAGAGAAGAGATAACTGACCAGGGCATCCTTAACCCGAGAGGATATTATCGTCGATGCCCAAGGGGGTAATAGAAGAGTTGGAAACGATGTAGAGTTTCGGTTATGGGACTCAAATATGCATATTATGGTGACCACTATACTTCGCAGAGAGGATGTTCACGATGGTGGTGGTGGTGGAGGTGGAGTCATAGATGTTTTGATTGCATGACTTTCTGTGTTTTGTTTTGAAACAGGGCCAAGATGGTCCAATAGAAGCTGAAGATGCAGGGCTTGAACTGTGAAAACTAACCAGAGAACAACGTGTTCTGCTCATGGTTACTCTGCATCTCCAACTACGTCTGACTGCCTGCGCCCAACTGTCAAACCGGGACACCACCCTTGCTATTCCGTCATCCACTACCCTTCCCAGGCGGGACCAGTCTGCGAACAAGACTTGGACCCTGTATCTTTGACACACACAAAAAAACACACACACATAACCCGGACGGCAGCCAATTCCGATGAGTCGCATCGATAAGAAACCAGTTGACTTGACTTGAGAACTGTTTGGATATAGGAGGTAGTTTGTTTGTAGTATCAATGGGTTAGATTTGCACCAGCTTCAAGCATACCACAAACTAATAAACCCAATTATCAGAGAGACACTCAAAATAACATAAACATCCAATTGTTAGTTACTTCCAAGTATCTCACTTTGAAGTACTGGGACTGGGGGGGCGGGAATCCACAAAGTCCACTCATAGGTAGTCCGGCACGTCAGGGTATCAGAAAAATTGACCGCTGGAAGCATAAAAGACAAAATTAGTAGGTCACTTTGTGCCCCTTGGTCTATAGTTCTTAGACTACTTATTTTTGTATCCTAAGTCTTAGGAGACCATTTTTTCTGCTACCCAGTAGCGGCATCCCAAATCTAAGCCAACCTTGAACTCCAAAGTTCAAACTCCCCAACCCCAACCCACACTGCCTACTTGCTTGTGCTCGGCGGTCACGGTTCGGTCCAGTAACTACCACAAAGCTGCTATCATTCGATTCGTCCTCAACTCCATCTTCTTTTTGCCGGAGCCTTACCTTGTCTCGCCCTCCTGAATCCCCATTCCCCAGACGCTGACCGGATCTGCCGTCAACGTATTATTGTCCATTGTGAGCCTCTACCGTCATAGACAGGGTCATATCAGCACTGTTCCGTCCCAGAAGAGTTCCACCAAACGCTCGGCCTTCCAGACGCAGATCCTACAATATCCCGATCCAGATATTCAAAGTCATCGTCTCTTTCCCCCATTTTACGCCGTGTTTTGCTTGCGCCCGACTCTCGCTTTAGTCCTTCGATACCGAATTCTTCCTTCTTTGCTTGCGACCTGTCCCAGCCGATATATCTCCGATGATGGGCGCTTCACTTTCATGTGCCTCAGACCTAGATTGAATACCAACACTCGCTTCCCGTAGCCTTCCCGCTTTGCTACCGGCACCGACTGATTCGCCCTCGCGGCGCGCCGCCGTTTGCGCTCCATCATGGACAGTGCTCCGCTCGTTACCGACGACCTTCTCGATCCGCCGCCTCGAATATACGAGCGATTGCGTCAGATAGCTGGATATACTTGGGATGAAAACCAGCTACCCTTCCATTCTTCTTATGACTACTGGTAAAACCCCCACCACGGGCCACGACGGTTGCTTATGGCCCTGGTCAAAAGACTTTCTCCCTCTCTAACTACATTTAGGCATGTTGTTGGCACCCGTTTTGTCTCGTCGGTGCCTTCGCCCTCGAGCTCACACAATGCTTCAAGCCCAGGATCAGCATTGAGGCTGCATTCTGGCCGCCCATCTCCGTCAGAACCTTACGCCCCAATATCGAATACCGATGGCTATGATACCCAGGCAATTACACCCCCAGCCTCCTCCTCATCGAACAACCCAAACGATGCTCCTTATATCGAAGAAAAAGTGGTTGCTCGGATATCTTACCATGCTTTACGAGAAGAGCGGGCTTTTCATATCGCCAGAAGCTTAATTGCCAACTCGGACCCGACCGGTCAGCATATTGTCAAACCTCTGGATTTGATTAGATTAAACCCTCTCCCTGGCGATCGCGCTCAGGTTGTTGTTGCTATATACCAACATCCTGGGCCTAATTACCTGCTGGAGGTGCTGGATATGGGCCCTGCTTTCTACAGAGCTCGTACTCACGGAGAAACCTTTACCTCATTACGGAAGAATGAACCCGAGTTGCACGACCCGATTTCATTACAATACTTTCTCGACTTTGCTATAGGCGCAGCACAATGTCTGGAACTCCTCCACCATAATCTTGGTATGATACACGGCGAGATTCGAGGTGATGCGTTCCACTTCAACGTTGAGACAGGGCAGGTCAAAGTCATGTCTTTTGGATCTGGGGTTCGTTCGTTTGAACATGGCTTGACAAGCACCGGGTGGTCTACTCTTTCGAAAGAACTTGGAGCACGGAACAAGCTCTTATACATAAGCCCCGAACAAACAGGTCGAATGCCTGCGGAGCCAGATAGCCGTACCGATATCTACTCCCTGGGTGTCTTGTTCTGGACCCTATTGACCCAGCGGCCTGTTTTCGAGGGCGACACTCCTCTTGACATTGTACAAGGTGTTCTTGGTCGGAGGATACCAAACGTATCTACCGTGAGACTCGACGTTCCGGATGTTATTGGAAGGATTATACAACGGTGCACAGCAAAGAGTGTCACAGATCGATACCACTCAGCGAGCGGCCTTCGTTACGATTTAGCCAAGGTTCATGAGTTCCTCGGCGATGGAGACTGGCTGGCACTCAAGGAGTGGAGGATTGGCACAAGGGATGTATCGTCTTTCTTCATGCTTCCTGCCATCATGATCGGTCGTCAGCAGGAGCAAGCAGAATTGAGCAAGGTTATTGATCGTGTTGCAAAAAGTCACGCCATGAGTCTCAAGGGAAACACCAACAGATTCTCTGACGGCTCAACTCTATCAAATGACGTCGCCGCGTTCGATGATATATCTAGCGAAGGAGCAAGCTCTGTAGACGGCACCAACTATCGAAGCGGCTCGTTCACACATACTGCTCCTTCCGAAACCAAAATGCCAAAGACCAGCTTCAACCCCTTATATTCAGATACTCAAACGGTTTCTGGCGATACAATCGCATCGTCACCTTCGGGCACACTTCCTCGAGTCGCTAGACCCTGGGAGAGACACCAATCCATTTCCATTGAAACACGCAGTCTCGTCGAAAGTTCTGGACCTGACTCTCAGACCCGTCACAGTATGGTGGAGTCAACAGCGTCTAGCTTATCAAGACAACTAGGCTCTGCCAAGTTCCGACGTCGTGATTACTGCGAGGTTGTTACAATTGAAGGCGCAGGTGGTCTTGGGAAGAGCTGCCTTGTCCAAAGCGTTCTTGTTGATGCAAGGAGACGAGGTTACTGCGCCACGGCCAAGTTTGATACGGCCAGGAGAACTGCCTTTGGACCTCTGCTTAAGCTGCTCTCGTCCCTGTTCAAGCAGGTCTGGGGTGAGAGAAACACCGAGACTCCTTTCCACCAGGGTCTCAAGCAATTCGTTCGTCCTGTTTGGCCCATGTTGCATCGCCTATTAGGGCTTCCAGAGTTTCTTCTCGGCCCCCCAGAAACAACGATTGGCAGATCGATTTCATCATCTTTACAATTTAGCTCGAGCAAAAGTAGTGTTAGGTCAGGACTGAAGCGCCGAGGATCATCTCCTGGTGGCTCTCCCAAGTTAGTTGCGAGAAACCCCAGTGTTGCTTCGCAATCGTCTTCAGACTTTCTTCGTACTGGCACATCCACCAAGACTATGCGGCTGATGAACATCTTTCTGGATGTACTTCGAGTTTTTACTGCACACAAGTTCATTTGTTTCTGCTTAGATGATCTCCACTTTGCCGATGATGAGTCTATGGAACTGGTCTCTCAAATCATCGCTTCACGAATGAAGATGGTCATCATTATGACCTATCGCACTGAAGAAATCACATGGGAGAAGATCCAAAGCATGATTCATCTCCCCGAGAACGAGGGTATGTATGAATATTTGTTTGGATTTAGTAACCTTTGGCTAAATCATGTTTGCAGAATTTCCTCGCTCTGGCAGCCCTTTAATCACTCGCATTGCACTGTCACCCCTGACCGAAGATGACATAGTTCAATATGTCTCAACAACACTCTGTCGACCGAAAGAAGAAGTCTTGCCTCTTGCGCTGGTGCTGCAGTCTAAAACGGCAGGCAACCCATTCTATATGAGGGAGATGCTGAGTGCTTGCCACCGGAAGAAGTGTATCTGGTACGACTATAGGGACAGTCAATGGCACTACGACCTCGACAGGCTCTTTGAGCAGTTCCAAGGAGAAAAGGATTATGATACGCTTGATACCGCGTTCATTACCCATCGCTTGTCAGAACTCCCTGCAGCAGCACGAACCCTATTAGCTTGGGCCGCCCTTATTGGCAACTCATTCTCATTCGAACTCATTTGTCGGTTGATGAGTGGTGAGTTCGACTACCACGACGACGACAGAGGGGCATGCTGTACCACGTTCACTCACAAGTCATATTCTCAAGGGGAAGCTATCGCCGGCCTTCAAGCCGCCATCCAGGCATACATCATAGTACCTAGTGAGACCGATGATCGATTTAGGTTCGCCCACGATCGATATATCCATGCTTCAGCTGATCTGCAGGAGTGCAATTCACGGAAGATGCACTTTATCATCGTGCAAACACTCCAAAAATACCATGGCAGCGAAATCAAACAATTGGACAACATAGCGTCGCACATCTGTGCCGCGGTCGATATAATTCAGAGAAAAATTTCCAATCGTCGACAATACCGCAATTTGTTGACAAGCTGTGCTCAAGATGCTGCAGAGAGTGGCGCAAAGCCTACAGCCGCAAAGTATTACAAAACCGCTGTATCTCTATTACAGGACGACCCATGGACGGAAGGCAGGGAAGATGTGTCTTACGACGAAACGATGCAACTATACTTAAGAACAGCCGAGTGTTATCTCTATATGGGTAATTACATGGCAGCAAATGACATTCTCAGCACCATCTTCGCCAATGGAAAATCACCATTCGATAAAGCACCGGCATATGTCTTGCAGTCGAGGATATGCGCACAAAGTGGCGATTCCGTTGCTGCTCTAGCTTCACTCAAAGATTGCCTGGTTGGGCTTCAGGTTACTGTCGATGATGAGCCGAGTTTCAAGAAGTGCGATGATAAGTTCGAACGATTATCAATTCAAATCCAGACAATGGGCCAGGAAAAACTCCTCAATTATAAACAGGCGGCAGATGCCAACGTTGCGTCCATAGGAGCCGTCCTGTCAGAAACCGTTAGTGCCGCTTGGTGGAGTGACAGCTTGCGCTTTTATCATCTCAGCCTCATGATGGTAGAAATGCACCTGGAAAGAGGCGCTTATCCGCAGTCTGGAATGGCATTCCTTTATCTCGCAATGATCGCGCTGTCTCGCTTCAACATGACACAGTTCGCAGTAGATCTGAGCAACACTTCCCAGGACCTTCTTTATCAATCTCGAGACCCTTTCTTCCTTGCTCGCGGATTGATGCTTTATTCCATGTGCATTGGTCACGTTCATCTGACGATGCCCATGATCTGTGCACAGATGGAGGATGCTGTGGAATACGCGTCAGTTGCTGGCGACAGACAATCGATCATAATGTCGTACGGCGTGTCTGCAATCTTCAAGTTTTTCGGCGGAGAGAATTGCGCAGACCTTGAAGGATTCTGCCAGTACGGTTGTGAGGAGATTCCCAATTGGTATTCTGACTCTCGAGGAGGTTCAGTACTCATTGTCGTCAAGCAGCTCTGCAGGGCTCTGCAGGGCAAGACTCGCATTGCGAATGCACTCGAAGTCATGAACGACGAAACCCACAATGCGGAGAACTACAAGAACTGGTTGATCAGTTGCAACAGCAAAAGCAACCGGTCCATCACTTTTTACGAGAGCTTCGAGATCATACCCTTATTCCTCTACGGGCATTATGAGCGTGCCGTAGAAATTGGGGGTCATGCTATCGATCAGCTCAGTATGCTCTGGTCTTCCTATAATAGTAGGGTGATACTATTGTTCTACGGGCTAGCTCGTGCCGGATACCTGCTGCAGAAACTCCAGCTCCCTTGTTCTCCAGATGAAACCTTTTCCTCGCAGGTCGAGGAGGTCATCAGGGAACTGCGACGCTATGCCAAGATGATGGATGAGTGGTGCACCCTCTCAGACATTAACTACCTGAGTTGGATGAAGTTCCTGCAGGCCCAGGTTGAGGAGCTGTCCGGCAATTATGGAAATGCCATCCAGAACTACGAGTGTGCCCTGGACCATGCTACCGAGCATGATTCGATTTTCGATGAAGCCCTTGGCAATTACCTCATGGCTGGCATGTTCATCCGGCGAAGCGCACGTCGATCAGCTCGTGCAGCGCTTCTTGAAGCGGTTGGGTTGTTCAGGCAGATGGGTGCCGTTGGTGTTTCGAAAGCTGTCGAGGAGGAACACAGCCTGCTACTGCATGGCCCTACAAGGAACCAACGAACCACCGATACGGGCGTGCAGACCGACTTCGTTGCTGACACAGCATCCGTTCAGTACCGGACTGTAGAAGCGGAGGACGGTGGAGATCTGACACGTATTCCATCTAATACCATGAACATGCCCGACCTTAACAAGGGCGAGCGCATAGGAGCATGGAGGGGTTCTATGAGTATCCAGGCCGAGCCCGGAGTGGGACTGCCTGCTCTCGATATGATCGATCTGCATGCCATTCTTGTCTCTTCCCAGGTTATCTCCTCCGTGTTGCAAGTAGACGAGCTTTTGAAGACTATGTGCGACGTCATCCTGCAAACGTGCGGTGGCTCGGCTACACTGGCTGCCATCGTCGTCCAAGAGAACGATATGGACACTTGGTGCGTAGCAGCTAGTGGCGACCCAGAGAGAGGTGCCTCAGCACATATACCAGGTATACCCCTATCTGGAACCTCGCTCATCGCTGAGAATGTCGTTCTCTATTCCACGCGTTTCCTTGAGTCGGTCTTCGTCCCTGACCTGGTATCTGATGAGAGATTCGGCAACGTCAACGATTCATGGCTTCAAAGAAATCCTGTTGGCAAGAGCATAATTGCCATTCCAATCTGCCATGGCAACAAACCGCTACTGGGTGTGCTCTATCTTGAGGGCGAACCGGGTGCTTTCACGGATCGCAATGTCACTGTCCTGCAACTACTTGTCAACCAAATTGGCATCAGTTACTCGAACGCGCTGGCGATGAAGAACGTAGAGAAGATTTCGGCAGAAAACCGCTCTATGGTCGCCGTACAGAAGCGAGCTCTAGCCAAGGCACTCGAGGCAGAGACAAAGGCCAAGAACGCGGAAGCGGAAGCCAAACGGAACGTCAAGCTTGCGGAGGAGGCGGCCAAGGCCAAATCCATTTTCTTGGCCAACGTCTCTCACGAACTTCGCACTCCCCTTAATGGTGTTATTGGTAACTCTGAGCTCCTCCGTGACAGTGACCTGAACAGAGATCAGCTTGAGATGGCTGACTCTATCCGAGTGTCGGCTGATCTGCTTCTGACTGTTATTAATGACATTCTGGACTTTTCCAAGATGGAAGCGGACAAGATGAAGCTGTACATCATTGCTTTCAACCCCGAAGATATGGTTCGCGAAGTCGTTCGGGCCGTCTCCTACAGCAACCGCGAAAAAACGTCCAAGAAGAATGTCAAGATTGTACAGAACATCAACCTGCCGCCTATGTTGATATATGGCGACCCTATTCGTCTTCACCAGGTGCTGGGTAATCTTATTGGAAACAGTCTCAAGTTCACTGAAGATGGCTCGATAACTATTGGAGCCCGACTTGACAAGGAGACGCAGGAGCATGCTACTCTTACCTTCTGGGTTCGGGACACTGGTATTGGTATTCCTCCTCAGCAACTGGCCAAACTGTTCCAGCCTTTCAGCCAGGCGGATGCCAGTACTGCAAGAAAGTATGGAGGAAGTGGTCTCGGTCTCAGCATTTGCAAATCTCTCATTGAAACAATGATGAAGGGTAAGATTAGGCTCGAGAGCGAAGAAAACGTGGGTACGACAGCCTGGTTTACCGTCACGTTCGAAAAGGCCAAGCCCGATGTTGCTGCAGGCGATGTGCAGACTAAAGCTACGTCCTCGACCGACCGCTATTTTGCAGCTGCCTCCCCCGTAGAGCGAGCCGAATCACCAAACCCTTACCTGGACTTATCCAAGGTGCCCAAGGATGAGATTCGCATTTGCGTTGCCGAAGACAACCCCATCAACCAGAAGATTGCCATCCAGTATGTGCAGAGGCTGGGGTACAAGGGTGTCGAGGCTTATGACAATGGACTTAAAGCTGTCGAAGGCCTTCGACAAAAAGCCAAGGAGGGAAGACCGTATCATGTTGTCTTGATGGATGTCCAGATGCCGGTTCTTGACGGCTATGAGGCAACAAAGCTGATTAGGAAGGACTCTTTGGACGCAGTGCGCACAATCTTGGTTATTGCCATGACGGCTTCTGCAATCCAAGGAGATAGGGAGAAGTGCTTGGCTGCTGGCATGAATGACTATCTTGCCAAACCTGTCAGGTCGGAGATACTCAAGAAGAAGCTCGAAGCGTACCTGTGTATCGAGGTAAGTGAACCAAATTATCACAGAAAACCAAATACTGACTTGTCATAGCATGCACCAAAGCCAGAGCCATCACCTCCAGTGCCCCAAGGGTCGACCCTCAGCCCGCACACGCTTGCGGGGGCTCCCACTACCAAATCGAATTCTTCTTTTGTTCTTCCGTCCCCTGTAGTGAAGCCGAGCGTGGGAACAAGAGGGCCATCCAATGCATCTCTTGATCCTATGCAGGAAGAGGCTGTGTTTAATCAGCCCGTTGACCAGACTGCGTTGCAAGCACAGGAAAGTCCTGTGTACGGCAAAGAGCAGCGAGAGCCATCACCGTTAACGATTCCGGGCGTTGTGCCACCTTCGACAAGCACGGCTGCCCCTAGCCGTATGTCGAGCGACGATCGCTCTATAGACACTGCTTCCATCGCGGACAGTTCTACCTCTCAGTCTCAGAAGCGATTCCCTCGGAAGCTCACCAAGCAACGTCGCAGCAGCGAGTCAAATAGCGAGCGACCGTCCCTAACCGGCTTCTCCAATGACAAATCCAGAAGTGTTCTAAAGAAACCACAGCGACAGAGCACAACGAACCTTGTAGAGGAGGGTCAGAAGGCAGAGAATAGTTCTTTCACGTCCGGGAAGGATTCCAGCAAACGCAGCAGTTTGACATCCTCAGCTTCATCATTGAAAGATCGAATATTCCCCCACTAAGGCGACACAACCTCGTCGCCCGATGTTTTTATCATATAACAGCCATATCAGTGGTTGACTTTTACACATTTACGCCACGCAACGGCAAAATGAAGGGGGGTGCAAGGCTGGGTGGAAGAGAGGACATGGAGAGGCGAAGAAAGGTGACTTCTCACGAGTAGTCCAAGGAAAAGCGTTTGAACGCATATAAAGATTATGTGCAATTGTGCATAGATCCGGATTTTTTGAATATTCTGTTTTACTTGAGCGAGGAGCATTGAAGAGGACGGCAGCTTGTGCCAAGGCGCGGATGAATAGGGACTTTTCAATTCAATTCATGACAAGGAAAGGGGGGTGTCAAAGGTTATGTGGTAGGCCGTTTGGGACTGCTTGCAAGATACCTCCTATTTGCTTTTATTCTTTTTTGCCCTCTTGTAGAGATGGACTTAGCATAGATAGCGTGGTCTACTGATTTGGGGATACGATATGCCAAAAGAATCAAGACGATCAACCAAGAGAGAAAAACAGCCATTGTGAAGTGTACGTGTACTTGTAAGCTTGAACCACACAGTAACGACTCGTGCTGAAGTTACTTGACTTTTGATTTCATACACAGCGTAGAGGTTATCGTTGCTCTTTAGTGCCCAGAAAAACGATTCGTGTAAGCCCAGTGCTTTTTTTAGTTCCCCCAAAGTAAGACAGACCTGCGCCCGTTTGTCTTCCTACTCCGTTCCTCTTTCTCCCTGCTTGCGCAAGTTCGCCGACGCTCGACAGCCCCAAGTCAATGGGGGTGGGTTGGGGTCGAAGCCTGACGATCATATCTACAATTGGGATTTGATCGACCTAAGGGGGGCAAGGAACCATCCATATGGGAGGCGTACGCTAGCGGCCGTTGGTGACAACGAGGCATTGGCGTCCGAGATTGACTTAACTTAGATGAGACGAGTCTCCGAAGTATAGTACATTCCAGATGGCATGAGCTAGCAAAACAGACGATATAGTCGGTGGGATGGATGGTGACCCTGCATACTGTCACATTATGTGGCAACGATGAGGCGGAAGAGCAGAAGGGAAATTGACGTGTAAGCTGGCGGACCGATCAATTCTAGATCAGTGGTATGGTCCTGGCTTGTCTGGTTGGTTGACGGTAAACTTGGCTTCGGGATTCGATCGCGCGTAAGGAAGTGCAGGGGAGAAGATCCCTCGGCTGGTGGTATAGAAGCTCAGAGATCCGGTTGGGTTGATTACCTGATTCGGACAATATACTGAGAGTTATACATGAGCATTCAAGACAAATCCGGTCAGAAATTCCTATGTATTGTGCCGTCCCACTTTGAAGTTATCAGCTAATGAACATGAGTATGTATGACTATGCTTGTTCATAAGCTCAGTACTTGTCGCAATTTGAATGTGGAATTCAACCTGTACAGGGGTGGAAGGTAGAAGCCCAAGATCATAGAATGTACAGCTCAGCACAGAGAATAGAGGCCATTTGTAGATATGCTTAGTAGGAGATGTCTGTCTGTCTTCGTTCTTTCTCCTCATACCACCAGGCCGATGCGGCAGAGACAACAGCTGCTGTGCAATCGTTTGGTTTATCGTAGTGCAGGAGACGATTATCGGTTGATCCGCGACACGAAAGAACAAATAAGCATTGCAAAAATTGCCTGTTCCCTTTCATCGAGCTAGCTAGCCCAGGACATTCAGAATTATAGTAACTGGTCCTGATGCAGGCGTAGACCTAGCTGGGCCAATTTTAACAGGGCTGCGTCTCATCTCGAGCTGATACTGGATACGGATAGGAAGGACAATCTTTGGTGTCCAGTCCAGCCTCGCACGCTAATCTTCACTCGATGGCTACAATTGCTGGCCTTGTATTGGGGCTTGCGAGTACTCGGATGACAGACACATGCCAGATGGGATGGATATGCTAGCAGGGGTAGTCACTTTGCTGATCTTGATCGCCAAACAACCCTGGGTTAGGAAGGAAAGATGTGCGGTTGGTATGTGGGTTATCGGATCATTTACACATCAACATATTCGATAGTACATGAGCGAGCGTTTCGCATATTCCCGGCAGCAGGGGAGGCTTTGAGATCGGTTTTGGTAACTGATATCGCGTATTGACTTGTGCCTGCAAATGTACCGGTAGTTGGCTGGTGTCAGCTAAACCCATGAGAGTACATAGTGTAACGGTGCCTATGTGCAAGTAGCCGTTCACCAAGGGATCTCGGGAAGCAGTCGGAAAGCCCTGAGAGCGGCAGGCTGCCGCTGAACAAAGCCGAATTTCGTATCCTGATTTGGGTGTTGGTGAGCAAGCCCTGAAAGGGTGGCCCATGGGGCGCGTGTTTGCCAATGCAGGTGTGTGCAAACCCTGTTAGGCCTGTCTGAATTGCCCATCCGTTCTGATGCGATGAATGAGACACTGCTCCGAAATTGATGTGGTAAACATTGCGTTAGGAATAAGACAGGGAATAATTATTTGACACTAATTGGTTCTTAGCTTATTAGACGTTAAAAAGATGCAGCATCCTTGGAACAAGTTCCATCCAGCAGAGACGAGACCGGGCGGACCCGCACCAAGATCGGAACAGTTAGATCCAACGCCGACAAGGGTGCAGTCGGATTGGGCCGACCACAAGGTGGGATGAGTCGCTTAAAGACTAGTTGCCGATCCATCAGCTCACACAGACGACCAAGAACTTCTAACTTCGAAAGTAGCAACAAATTAAACAGGTTGGGCCATGACCATGCATGTGTGCCTGAGCGAGCCCTGTCGAACTGCAGCCGAGATTGGCAAATGATCTGCGAAATTGAGTTATCGAGTACATAGCAGGGAAAATAAGCTGCTATACTATGACGGAGTGTTTGGACCATGGCTGTGGTGGAAAGGCCAGTCCTCAAATTACAGGTAAGTTTTCCAGTATTGCACAGCCTCCTCTATGTTGACTCCCATGAAAGTAGCTGCAAAGGGTCTCGGAGAATATCCGCAGTTAGAGAAATGAGTGGTGGGTGGGCTGGATGCTTCGAAGAGCACGACTTGATGTGACGATGATGCAGTAGCCCTTGGGTTAAGGAACAGCTCCAAGTCGTCAACTAGCATGATGCAAGGAGAACGTGCTCCATGGGATTGACCCAAGTGTTGTGACCGGGGAACGAATATTGAAGATCCACGATACTACCACAAAGGGGATCAGTGCATCTGACCATGCATGGCGGAGGGTCAACATTTGCGGCTGAGCTTCTCTGTTATGAAGGTGTCCTGCGTACATGTAGAGTGTGTGGCTAGTGTAATGAGGAAAGAAACGCTTGTTTCATTTAGAGTAAATTCATCTCGGCGTCGAAGATAAGGTTAGTTGCGCGGTAACTGCTGCTGCCGCCTCTGTTGTTGCGACTGCACAGAGGGCCAAGAGGGCAAGAGGGCCAATGGATGTTGAGTTCGAGGGGGTCGCATGACGCCAACGGAAGGCCACGCACGAGTGGAACAAGGTAAAACACTTCGGCCATTGCTTTTTTCGAAATGATAGAGAGAGACTCATCTCATCTCGTTTCCACATTGGTGGCTGATGTAATGTAATTGAATGGATGTGGTCCATGGTGGTGAGTGATGAGATGGTAGGTCAAGGTCAAAGCAGGGTAGCCACCAGCCAAATCAAGCAAGGTTGATGCATCGTCAGGGTTGGAGTGACAGGCAAAAGCGAAGTGAAGTGGAGAAGAAGGAGGAGGAGGAGGGAATAGACTGAGGTTCAAGAAAAAGAAAGGAAGGAGAGGAAATTTGTGTATGCGCTCATAAATAGCAGGAACGCCTAGAAACAGGACAGTACAGTACCTAGGTAGCTAGTAGGCCCCTCTGTCTAGCTAGGTAGTTTGGACAAGCTTCCAAAAAAAAAAAAAAAAACGAGGGGAATGTCGTAGAAGGTAAGGTAGCATGGGTAAGAACAAGGAACAACGGACAGGGGTAACATCGTTTCAGATATCCATTCTCGACAAGGGCTTTCCAACCGGTAGGTACGTCTCGGACTCGACCAGCCTTTCTCGGCTCTGATTGGACTAAGATCATCAGGGTCCCGGGATCCCTAGTCCTTGGAACTGGGAAAGCTTACCGTGATGATTGGTGATTGGTAGAAAGCCTGCGAGAGGCTCTGTTATGTACACACCTTCTCGTTTTCTTCATCGCCCTCACCCCTCAAGTACAGCACTTGATGATAACCACCATCAACAAGTTCTAGAGATACGTGCTGCTGCAGTCATCATAAAAAGATGCTGATATATAGCCATCTTACCAGCTCTCTGATTTGAACATGTATAAGATTGTCAAGTGTAAGCGGTCCAGATAGGAAAACTTGACCACGGGCAGTACAAGAGACAAAATATTTTTACTCAGTCTTGGATCTGTGATTTATCTATCACTTTTTGGTTCTCGACAATCTAGACTCAATGATCGAATTACCATTGCCTTGTGAAGGTTGGTATCCCAATCTCCCTGATGGAGACTCCAAAGGACAACTATATGTACCTATGTAAGTAGGTAGCGGCAGATTAACTAGGTATGAGCCTTGATCAATACAGAATCCGTGCTGATTGCCTAGTTCGGTAAATCAAGACAGCTTGAGGCACTAAGCTGATATGATTGGACTTTTTGTCCATGTATGTACGACTCGAACCGATGAATAGAGCTACAACACAGATCTGCTTCGTGCAACGGAATCACCGTAAGGCAGAGAACAATCGAGTGTTGCAGTAACACATGTGTAGATATTGGCGCCATCAACCTACTAGTGTGACATTGGGAAGCTTCCAGTCTCTGACTTAACCTTGATAAGCCCCAAGTACTTCCCGACATTAGTCCTCTTACGTGATCACATCGGTGTGATACTGTTACATCAGCATTCGCGAGTATCATCGGCAGTGAACCAATCCTGCAACGGAAGTTAGGCCAGAGGATTGGTGCTCAACTTATTCCTGGCATCAAACTCTTGCCACTGCAGAGAGCTTCCTCTTTTTTTCCAGTCAAAGTCATC